CCATTGCACTGCACTCCGGTCTGGGCAACAAGAGTGACAATCCATCTCAAAAAAAAAAAAAAAAAAAAAAAGAAGTACATGTGGCTGGGCACAGTGGCTCACTCCTGTAATCCTAGCACTTCGGAAGGCCAAGGTAGGCGGATCCTCTGAGGTCAGGAGACCAGCCTGGCCAACAAGGTGAAGCCCCATTTCTACTAAAAATAAAAAAAAAAATTAGCTGGGCATGGTGGTGGGCACCTGTAGTTCCAGCTACTCCAGAAGTCGAGGCAGGAGAATCACTTGGACCTGGAAGGCAGAGGTTGCAGTCAGCCAAGATCATGCCACTGCAATCCAGCCTGGGAGACAGAGTGAGACTGTCTCAAAAAAAAAAAAAAAAAAAAAAAAGTATATCTAACTGCTTTTAGAATAAGGTTAAGACCGATCTTAACTGCTTTCTGCTAAAGGTGGGGGTGCGGGGGTGGGTGCTGTTCTGGGGAAATGGCAGTCAGAGCTTCCCTAGAAGGCTTATCTAAGGGTTCCCAGCAGAAGGGATTAACGTTGGAGGCCCTGGTTGCATGACTGTGTGGAATCTGATGGCCTGAAGTCAAGAACAGACTAACTGGGTTATTAGAAAACATGAATGAAAATGAAACAAGGGGAGGGGTAAGGAAGGCTAAAAAATTCTGACGCCTTTTACCAGTTTGCACAGGAAGAAGGAGGACAAAAGCCTTACTGGTTAAAACACTTTCCCCTTTTGCTGGCATGTTGGGCTTCTGGGTTCCCTTCTCCTGAGCTCCATCTTAAGCCAACCAATTTAACATTTGGGAAATTAACTCTTTCCAGTTTGGAGCCTGCATCTGAGGGGAGCATACCATAATATGGAGACACAATTACCTATCAGTGAAGAGAAGACTGAGGAGGAGAAGGGAATAAAAAGGTGTTTTTTTTTTTCAAAGGAGTCCCAGGATTCGGCATGTATTCTAAAGGGGTACAGACTGAAGATGAATGACTACCCATCTAGAAAGAGGAGTGCAGGTGTCCCTGGTTCCCTTCTCTTCCTAGAAGATATCCAGGGTGTGTGAGGCAGAGAGGGAAGAGCATCTTCTTTCCCTCTTCAGTCTTTGCATCCCTGAGTTCCAGTGACTGACAGGCACTGCTGTGAGTTCAAAAGCGGCTTGATCTCATGAAGCAGAGGGGCCTAGAGAATAGGAATTATCAGCTCTCACCTATGTCTCTTTCCCACCTACTGCTAGTAGGCTTGGAGTTTCCTAGGCCTCATTTATGCCATGGATATTAACATGGCCTTCATCCATGAAACAGGAAGCCTGGGGTTGGCTTAACTGGCAGGAATCAACCACACTCATCCTGCACTGTGCCTTTTAGCCTCTGTTGTCATCTGCCTCTGGATCTCTGAGATCCAGTTTTCTTTCCCAGAGCTTTGATCCAAAGCTTGGAATTGAGTCTGGGACAAAGATGTGTCTCAGGAGATTGCATGGACTCTTTATCATAGCCAAATCTAAGGTGAAACTGTGGAACTGAGTCTTCCTCCAAAAAGGGAGAGAAAAGGATTTCTTGTGACATACCCAGCTAACTGGTAGCTATAGTTATGCTTGCTAGGATTTGGGTGACTGGTGCTTGCCTCTAGTTAGTTCCCTTGGTGTTACTTTCCAGAAAAGAAACCTCTGGATGATGGGCACACTATTTATTCCCTATTTATTCCATCACCAGATAGGATTGGCAGGCTAATTGCTCAGAACTAGAGTATCAATCCAGATTTATCCATTACTCATCCATTTAGTTCTTTCAGAGCTGCAGCCAGAGATTGCTGGTAGGGTCACAGCAGGGAGAATCTAAAATGTAGGCAAAAACTTAAAAACAACTACTGAGTTTAGAATTTAATGACAGATGTATAAGTTTGATGAATTTTGGAACATAATTTATCTCTAGTCCTCACTTTTTAAAAAAACAAATTATGATGAGTTGTTTGCAAAACAGACTTTAGTTTTATACTTGGCTTGATTATTTGCATAAAGCACAGCAAGAATAATTGTTTCTACAAAGGCCTTTTGGACTGGCTTTGATGGAAGTTTGCTTCACAAGGAATCTCAGATAAGACCTTTTAAAGCCCAACCCAGCAATGGGCTCGCATCCTCAAAAACCTATCATTTGGGTGACCCTCTCCTCTTGAGGTCCCAAAATAAGCTTGGGGCTCTTAGACCTGTTAGAAAGTGACATTCTTTACTGACCACAAGTCAGGAACCCTGTACAGAGACTGTATAGATGAGGGTATGAGGCCAGTCTCCCATTGGGCTTTTATCGGCTCTGTAAGACAAGCTTGACTCCTGAAAGGGAAGCATATACTTCCAATCAAAGCCTTGGTAAAATAACTTCTTTTTTTTTCAATTGTGTCTTAATGCAAAAGAAAAATGGATTTTTACTGCACTGATGCAAACAACTAAATGCCATAAGAATACCCAGTTTCCAAATTCTAGAGGAACCAGGCAGAGGGAAACAAACATGCTCCAAATTTTGATCACAGGTGTGTATTCCTCACTTAATCATTAAAAGGCTGTAAATAGTTCAAAATAAGTTTCCTTGACTCTGAAAAATCAAACATGGATCAGCAATATTCCAAGCAAAAGTCAAAAAAGGTTGCTTCAACTTTGAGTTCAGTCCATTTAGTTAACTCTGGTTTTGTTTGATACTCATGAGCATTTCATCTCTTTGAATCCTATACATTTTCCTTTATTCCAATGTTACAATCTCTACAGTTATCAGAAGCCCGTATTTGAGAGCACCTGTTAAAGTTCTATAGCTCATTATAAACCAACTTTGAAAAGGATTAAAATAAGACAACAATTGACTGTGACTAGCAAAATGTCCAGGGTGGTTACAGTTAGAAAGACAACCGGGAAAGAAATTTGATCATCTCTGTAGTTTATAACAACATAACAACCTTAATTATGATTGATGGAATCTACTTAGACATTAGAATTTTAGAAATCCCATACAATTTTGGAACATATATTAGCATTATTCAACAAGACATATTCTAAGGAAGACTGAACATCATTTTGGCAATCCCAAGTACCTGAACATGTAAAATAATCCTGTTTACCTTTCTTTTCTGAACACTTGAGGGGCCCTCTGAAGTATTTGCAAAGCCAGGTGCCAGAGAAGACAATTTGAAACTGAAGTTTGATTTTGGTTAGGCTACGAAATGTTCGAGGTTTAAAACACTTGATATTATGAAATAGAATTCCAGATTACCAAAAGTTATTTATTTTGCCAACGCGATGACTCAGAAATTTTAAAGCAGCAAAAACCTTTTATAAATCTTTCTAAATTTTGCCGAAGAGCAGATGAGCATTTTAAGAATACCTTGCTGTGACTTTATTTCAATGCTCAATTTGCAGAAAAACCACATAATACCGTTTTTTGAAGTTAGTCAATATGTTCGGAGAAACTCTTCCGAGAGATTAATTTCCACCATTCCTCCACCACTGCTTTGAACCTTCAGCTTTTTTCTAATTTAACGCAAAACAATCCTTTAGCCCTAGACCTAAGTTTACATTTCCATGCCGTCTTATAACCTTTCACTAAAATAACACAACACATTTTACTGTTCCTACACACCTTGCATGCAAATCCATTTCTAGTAGTTCCCGTTAACTCCCAGCAGTTTTTAACTTTAAGGTAAAACTTGGTAAGTTGCCTTAATTGTGCGCTAACTGCCTCCAAGTCTTGCCTTCTTAATCAAGTCCCTGGTTAGTTCCATTTGCCCCCAGGCCTTACCAGTTGTGAAGCTGGCAAGCCAGATAGTTCTCCAAACCCAAAGAACAGTTTGTAACCTCAAAAACACTTAGCAAACCTCGCACCTGACCTGCATTTTACTAATAGTCTTTAGGGCTGACTTTTTTTTCTCAAAAATTAAAGTCACGTGAACTGAAAGGTATCACACATTTTATCTCCCCTTTAAAAACATATTAGTTCCAAGTGCTTTTCTTTAGGCCAAATTAGAGCTCCTTTTACAGACATCACATACAGACAAAAAAAATCCAGTCGCTGGGTGGGGTCCCTTAAGAGACAGGGCTAGGAAAACATGCAGATATCATACCAGAAAGAAACTTATTCCCTAAGACAGGACTGCTAAACAAAGCCTGCAAACCAGAGTTACAAGCCAAGCCTTCAGAACGTAAAACAAGAGGAAAGCTTGATTTCACAACCATAACTTTGCAGAAAATATAAACAGTGATAGTTGCTGGGGAGGGGGTCCTGACCTAGTAAAACATCTAGAAAGAAAAAAGGAGAACTTTAAAAGTTAACTTGCTGACAGGATAGAGAAGGGGAAAGAAACAGTTTTAAAGGCCTGGAGAAGAACCTCTTATTCTTAGGCAACTGGTTCCTCCACCAGGGAGAGTTTAAGCTTAATTACAGTCGCACAGAGTGAAACCCCTTGGCTGGGGAAGGGGAAGGCTGTAGATGCTTGTGGCTGGGAACCAGCCAGCCTGCTATGGGGGACGCTTGGGCCAGGTGCCCCAGCCCTGCATGGAGTCGGGAGGGCCTGCTGCTCACCAGTCTCTCTGGAAAAAGTTAGGAAAAGGCCATGAAAAGGCCCCTATCCCCCAGGAGCGACTGGGGGTGGAATGAGGTTTCCCATAAGCTCAGAAATTCCAAGATGAAAAGGCTTAGGGTGAGTGGTTTGTTTTCCAGGACAGTCTAGCGCTGTCGCCCAGGCTGGAGTGCAATGGAGCGATCTTGACTCACTGAAACCTGCGTCTCTGGGATTCTAGCAATTCTCCTGCTTCGGCCTCCTGAGTAGCTGGGATTACAGGTGCATCACCACACCTGGCTAATTTTTGTATTTTTACTAGAAACAAGATTCATCTTGTTAGCCAGGCTGGTCTCAAACTCCGGACCTCAGGTGATCCGCCCGCTTCGGCCCCCCTAAAGTGCTGGAATTACAGGCATGAGCTACCACACCCCGGCCAACACTGAGGTTGAGTCCCCATTTCACTCACCATTTCTCGAGCTCCCACGTTGTGCGCCAATAACGATGCAGGAGTTTTCCTTAGTTCAGCTAAGACTGGGTTCTTGTCCGTCCCATGGCCAGGAAAATTTAGGCTTGGAGACGGTTTAAAGGGTGAATAAAGCTGGGTTTTATTGGGTGAAAAGGGAAAAAAAGTGGGGGAAACAGGGATCCTCTGCCAGGCCAGAGCCGCCTGCTAGAGGCTTCCCGCTGGCCCTCGCAATCCCAGGTTCACGCAGGAAAAGGAGGAGCCAGGCTCCTCCCTGCTGAACTTCCTGAGGCTACACCTCAGTGGGCAGGCGGGTTGGAGATTCTCCACGAAACTCCTCCCACCTGGCTGTTTCAGTGGCACACACCTGTAATCCCAATGCTTGAGGAGGTGGAAGACGATCACAGGCAGGCCAGGGGATTGAGACCAGCCTGAGCAATACAGCAAGACTCTATCTCTACAAAAAAATTTAAAAATTAGCTAGGCATGGTGGTGAGCACCTGTAGACCTCGGTACTTGGAAAGCAGAGGTGTGAGGATTGGTTGGGCCCAGCAGTTGGAGACTGCAGTGGGCACTGATCACAGGACAGCTCTCCAGCCTGGGAAGCCCGCTGACACCTCATCTCTGGGGGAAAAAAAAAAAAAAAAAAAAAAAAGAGGAAGAAAAGAAAACCAAAACCCAGGATTCTCTAAGATGGTTTAAGTTTCACTTCACTAAGGAGCATTTAGAAAAATTTCTACATTTTGCTAAAAATGAGTTCTAGGCTTCCTTTTCCACAGTACCTAATCTCTCCACAATGCAGGATTCGTATCCTAAGCAACTGATTCTCTAAAACCTATATATGAAAATTCCCATATTTTTAAAGAGAAGTAAATAAGTAGAATTAGACTTGAGCATGATCTAGAAACTTGTTCTTAGGATTCTGAAAGCTTGTTTCATAGATGCCTCTGAGTTTTAGTTTATTTCAAAAAGAAATTACTATTGTCAAACATCCCCAAATTTTAACTTTATGAGTGTGAATATTTCAGAGTGTACCAGCAACCTTATCACTGATGAAATCTTTATTAGCTATGGAATAAAATCCTTGATGAAAACCAGTTGCCCAGAAATTGCTAGATATATATATCTACTAAAATTATAATCAGATTTTTTTGGTATCTCTTTTACAACTGTATACATATACTAAAGTATTACGAGGCACTAACAAAACTTGTAGAAATTAAAAGTAGAAACTAGATTAGTGGTCACCAATAATTGAAAGTCTCAAAGATAAAATTTGCCCATTCCATTTCATCCGATCTAGATCCTGTTTATCAAGACTCTTGCTTCTTTTTGTTATATTTTGTTATATTTCAGCATTTAATAAATCATCAGTTTCACCATAGTCTTGAAAATTAGGACAATAGAAGGGTTTGTTCCTAGTCAGATGAGCAAATGAATTTAAGAAAAGGTAACTCATTTTAGTATCTTTTTTTGTGTAATTTGGGGTTTTGTGGCCATTCATATCCTTCCCTTCCTAACAGTTGCTATTTATTATTGTCTAATTTTTACTGAGTCCTATCATATTAATTAACTAAAGTAACTGTGAAGAATAATTTACCTTTCTCAAGTGTCTACATGGCCAAAAATTTCTCAAGGGTCTACATAGATGAAATGAACCATTCATTTTTTACCTTCTTCACACTAAAGTTACTTATTGTGATTGGTTTAAGAGTGGAAATTTGGTTTCATTCTCTGGTTAAGGGGAATGAAATTATACAAGACATGCCATAACTTACACACTGCATTTGGATTGCATTGTTAGCATTTCTTAGATGACTTATCAGAATTTGAAAAGATGAATGTATTCTTTCATATTCCAGAGATCTTTGCACAATCCAGATACTACTACATAAGAACACTGTACTTACACCCTACACTCTGGCCCAGAATCACCTTTTATGAAGCCTACCAAACCTCATTTTAAATGCAAAATACTGCCTCTGGGATCGGTAGTCTCAGTCCAAATCTGTGTTTTGATATAAATTGAATCTGATAGTGGTAAAGATTGCAGTGGTTTGGGGGAAGTCTTAGCTTGTGAGGAAGGAGCTGAAGAGAAATGGAGGCATGATATGCCATGAAAATTTAATTCTCTGTGTACATGTGATTTTCAGTGGTACTTCAAGAAATAGATCTTTTCATAATTACATATAATTACATAAGTAACATTCAGGGTATGTGGTTACTCTTTATTGGGCATAAATGAGCTTTTAAATTTCTTGTTTAGGAAATCTGTGGAGATTGATGTATGGCAAATTATTCTTATCCGGTTTATCGGGACATCAAGTTCATCTTCACAACTTTTAACCTTCTTTTAGATTCCTTTACAAATAAGGTTTCAGAAGGTAGTCTCTGAACAGGTTTTATCCATTTCCCAAGCAGAGCTTATTTTCTCTGCATCAGCGAACTTGTCATGATAATCAACTTTTTTTGTCCCAACCATCAATCACTCTTGATTACAACTGGGTAGAAGTTCTGTTCTGTTGATCAGCTCATCAGTGCACATAATATTACACCTGGAGGCCAGTACAAATCATCCCCGAGGGGAAAAGCATTTTCCTTCAAGGCTTTGTCAATGGTTTTATCATTTACATTTAGGTCTCATTGAGTTGTCATGTCTATCTTTGACTCTACCTTCTCTCTCATATAAAATATTCTACCAAAATAACTCTCAGCGTTTGCTTGATTATTTGTGCTATAGGGTTATTATTCTGCTTTTGCCTATTTAATTCAAAAAAGGAAATTATAATCTATTGTCTTCTTATTATCATAGAAAGCTTTCTCCAGCTTCTAACGAAGATATTGTAGAAATTAAATGCATATGAATTATAATTCAATGAATATTCAGTAATTCTATAAAAAGCAGTTTAGCCTATGTATTATTAGAATGTTTGCAAGTCTAATTTTGTTTATTTTTAATGGTTTCTTAAGTTAGGTTTTTGTTTTATGGTTTGGCTTGGGCTAGGGAATATTTATCTTTAATTTTCATCTTATTTTAAGTAAAACTAGCTATATTCATGGTTTAAAAAGACACTGAGAAGTAAATATTTTTAAATCAATTGCTCAAAGTCAGCTCAATTGCTCTTATGCTGTGTCTGTACTATAGAAAAATATCTTATTTCTCCAAGCCAACCCATATTTCTTAAGACAGTAGCATTATCAGAAAAGTTACTTGAGCAATGATAAAATATTATCATGGTAGGACATTTATTGGTTTCATAAAATATTTAAAATAAATATATAATTTTTGAAAACATTTAATGTATTCTGTGTATTCCATAAAGAAACTATTTTTCTCTTTCTTGTATTTTGTTGTATTTTTATCACTTTATAAAATCTGAAACAATAATTTAGAGAATCATTTTAACATTTAGAATACAAAGCATAAAGAAAACAGGCTAGCATATTAAATTACAGAATAACATGAATTTAATTAGAAATCATGTCTTTCTATTAAAAGGCCTAATTACAGAAATTAAAATTTCTTTTATGGTTGGACTGTCTATAACAGTGATACATATCTGTTTTTGATTGAAATAGACCAACTAAGAGAGTTCTGTGTTTTTATTTTCTACCAGCATTTAGATATTATTGGTTCTTAATTTAATCTGTGTAACAAAACCAGGGCAAATAACATAAATTAATGAGAAAGTGATCTATGTAGAAATATATAAGGCACACAGGACTGAATAGGAAATCCATGTTTTGAAAAGCTGAGCTAAACACTAAAAGTGGCTCACTGATGTCTCTGTGGTCTTGAATCTTCTTGGGATAGGAGTTGATCGAGTTTGTCAAGGATTGCATTATTATTCTTACGCAGGTTTAAAAATCAATATGAGCTGGGCGTGTTGGCTTCTATAATCCCAGCATTTTGGGAGATCAAGGCAGGCGGATCACCTGAGGTCAGGAGTTTGAGACCAGACTGACCAACATGGAGAAACCCCATCTCTGCTAATACAAAAATTAGCTGGGCATGGTGGCACATGCCTGTAATCCCAGCTATTCAGGAGGCTGAAGCATGAGAATTACTTGAACCCGGGAGGCAGAGATTGAAATGAGCTGAGATCACACCATTGCACTCCAGCCTGGGCAACAGAAAAAGACTTCCTCTCAAAAACAAAAACAAAACATTAACTTGAATATTTTGTTGCACCCACTCTGTTTGTTCCATATTATCAGTCCGCAAACTGGGCCTTCTCCTGAAGAGCTAGTCTTAACTAGTTCATCTCTTCTCAGACTAGAGAGACTAGGCAAATGGTTTGCCACAAGGAACTTGTCATCTTAGCCCACAGTATGATTTTTATACATGAAACAGAACTTTTAAACTTTAAGTATGATTTTTATACATGAAACAGAACTTTTAAACTTTAGCCACAGTGTATGACCTAATGCTTGACTTTGAATAAGCCCAACGTAAGTGGCAAAGTTTGTTTATTTATAAAACACTCAGATTGACTGCAAAATGTATTTACGTATTTACCTGTAGACAGTTTGATATGAAATGATAAATCTTTAGTTTAAATAAATAACTTAAAGAAGGGTTTCCCTTCCCCCACTCCATGCCCCCAACCACAGTTTTTCCCCTCTGGAGATATGGAAATATCCAGTTCATGTTGCAATTCTATTAGCACATTACATGTTGGCAGAACATTTGATGCAGATTTAGGAAGTATCACAGTGGTGGTGGGATCCAGTTTCTAAAATTTTGACCGTGCTGTCTCCTCGAACTTGAAAAAAGTTGCCAATATTTAAAATAAAAAATGCCAAGGATTGAAATCTCAGTGGAAGCAGAGACTCCACCAAAGCTATTTCATGTACAGAACCAAGTTTCTTTTGTTTTTAAACAATCTCCTAGTTCACTAAAGAGCGTAAAAGAGTGAAAGTTAACATGTCACACAATCCATCCTGTCTCACGAAGAGAGATACATTCTCTCAAAAAGGGTTCCCAATTCTGCTTCACAGAAGAAATGTTTCTGTATCTGGAAATGGAGGAAGGGAGTAAGTTATCAATATAGACCTCCAGATGACCCCCATATTGGTATCTACATCCGATTTTCTCCCTCAACTCCATAATCAAATATTTGCCTGCACCCTCAATATCTGCACTTGGTTACCTAATGGATTCCTCATACCTAATAGCTCCAAAACTAAAGGCCATAGCTCAGTCCTCCAAAGCCAGACAATATTCCTCTTATA